GCTGTATTTTCTCTTATTCCCTTGTAATCTCCCTGCATGTGTATTTTAAACCTGCGCTTTCCCCCTCTCCTCCTCCTCCTCCCTGGTTTTTTGGGAGGGTTAAGCAGTTGAAATTGCTCCTTCGACCCTCCGGAGCAGCTTGTTGTAAAGATCCCTCTGTTGCACGTTTGCTGAGCTGCTGCTCCGGGTGTATTCTCTGCAAAATATTACTGGGTGGTTTAGTTTTTGATTTTATTTTTTTTTTCATTCCCCCACCCCCGGCAGCACTGGGCTCCTTCGTGATGGTACTCACAGTCCATTTGACGTGCCGGAGAAATCCTCCTGATGCACCAAAATCAGCGCTTAAAGTTTGGGGAGCTAAAATGTGGCTGAGGATCGCTTGCTGTTAAGCTGGAAAAAAAAAAAAAAGAGGGATATTTGCGAAGCTGTCTGGTGCAGGATGATTCCCTTTGGGGCACTTTGCTTTGTCGGGGTGGGTTTTTAAGCAGTGCCAAACACCAGGGTTTCCCCGGGGAGGGAGCAGCGCAGCCTGGCCGGGCTCCCTGGCAGGGTGCTGCGCCACCGCATGGGTCACCTTAAGGTTTTCCTTCTCCTGCAGTATGCAAGCATTTGGGTACAGGCTTTTAAAATACATCTATATTGTAAATCTGCACCTACAGACACACCAAACACCTCCTATGCGTCCCTTGCTGTCCCCAGAGAGGAGGCAGGAGGAGCGTGTGCCGCTCTGTGATTTTCAACATCTCAAAGTGCTTCAAAGCAGGAATGAAACCCTCCAAAAAAATCTCCAGCAAAGCGGTACGGAGAGTGGTGATATCTAAAAGCAAAAGAGCATTAAAAGCCTGTACCGAAATGCTCCTCTGCTGCGGCTCTCCCGAAGACTTCCCGAATTTTGTGAGCGCAGCGCAGCGTGTTGGAGCATCTGCTCCTGCGAAAGTGCTTCAAAGCAGGAATGAAACCCTCCAAAAAAATCTCCAGCAAAGCGGTACGGAGAGTGGTGATATCTAAAAGCAAAAGAGCATTAAAAGCCTGTACCGAAATGCTCCTCTGCTGCGGCTCTCCCGAAGACTTCCCGAATTTTGTGAGCGCAGCGCAGCGTGTTGGAGCATCTGCTCCTGCGGTCTCTGTGCAGGTCGGGCTCTGATTAAGCAGACGGAAGTTTTCCCGGCGTCAGGACGACATGATTTGGCCATTAAACAACTAATTTGCTGGTGTCTCGCTCAAGCCCTGCGGGGAAACTTTTATTTTCTTCTCCGGTTCCTTTATTTTTGGAAAGGCTTGGGGGTGCCCGATGAGCTGAGCGCTTCCGTGAGAGAGGTGGTTGTCATTTGGGGAACAGGGTGGCTTAAAACTCGGTGGGCAGTCTGAAGAATTTTATAGAAATGGGGTAGCACATCCAAGTGAAGCCTTTTTGGCTTTTTTCCCCTGAATTGTCTGCTGAATGATGTGATTTTCACTATTAATATGGAGAAGATGTCTAGTCTGATTTTTTTGGGACTGCCAGGGCTTCACCTCAATGACTGTGCGTCCTTCCCAGCACGTCTGCCCCTTAGAGAAAGCAGCAAGTAACGCAAAACTCAGAGCCCTGGTGTAAGGAACAAGGTAAAAGGGGCAAAGCAAAGGCAGTTTGAGCAAATATTGCCAACGGGAAAGTGCTGTGCGCCGAGTGAAGGGTTTGAAGGGTCGGAGAAAGGAACAGAATTGCTCAAGGCGAGGAGAATAAATCACAGGGAATGCCCCGAGGAAAAGAGCAGAAACTCCATTTAATAGTGAAAAGGCCAAAAACGGTGCTGCCAAGTCGGGCTCTGCTCTGCCCGGGGCTGGGAGCCGCGGCCCCTGCTTATTTCCAAGATGCTGCTATTTTTTGCGAGTTGCATCTGGGGGTTTTTGCAGAGGCTTGTTTAAACCCGCCCAAGCCAAAAGCCAAGGGAATTTTTCTCCCTTGAACCGTGTGGGTCAGGGGCTTGGGGCTTTTTTTTAGCTCCTGTTTTATGCCTCTCAGTCTCCCAGGACCAGAGTCCCCGAGAGAGCGGGGTTTCGCTCCTTAACACTGCCTGCTGTGCAACTCCCAAATTATTTTACTGCTGCCTCGCAGGGCTTTGTCATGCGTGGATTTTGACCTGTAGCAGTTATCCTTTGGGGACAGCAGGCAAGAGGGAAAGAGCCTGTTTTGACTCCAGGAGCTGAGTTTTCAAGGCTCTTCGGTCCCCAAATTGCCCCATAAAGGCAATAACCACCAGCAGCATTTTTTTTTCCTCTCCCACGGTTCAGCGCGGGGATGGATGAGCCAGGTGGCCTCTTGGGTTTTTTCCAGCTCTGGTTTTTTTGGTTCTGGTTTTTTGGTTTTTTTTTTTTTTTTTTTTTTAGGGTTTGGACAAAAAACAAGATTTGTTTGACATGCCTGCACGATGTTTACAGTATGGCTGGAGAGCTGAAGAAAAGTCATTTGAGGACTTGAACATACATAGCAGATTTAAGGCAACACTGGCTGGTTCTTAAATCTGACCCGGGAGGTGGTTGTAATCTGTTGCCTGTTGGGTTTTTTCCCATAATAAGAGCTGGCTTATCTATACTTATTCTGGGCTGGGTTGTGAACTTGCCTTTTCCCTGCATCCAGGGACTGTTTCCGTATCGGATGGCTTGTTAGAAGCCAGGTATGAAATGTGTTTCGACAGACACTCCAGAGTGGTCCCCGGGGACAGCGTCGCTGCAGGTCTCTGGGAGCCTCTTCAACTTTGATTTTTATGATGGGGACCCTCTTAATTCATGCAGGGGATACTCTTAATTCATGCAGCATTCAGGGAACGGCTGGAAAAACCTTTGAGAGCGAGAGCAAAAGCTGGGAAGAACTGGTGGGCGATGATCCCGCAGTTAAAGTGCAGCCCAGAGCGGCTTGGGTTCAGTTCTTGGGTCTGCAAGCAATTTTCTGAGGCAAGACCTTGACCTTAGCGCCTCTTTGTGTGTCAGCAGCTTAGGTCTGAAGGGACAATAGCGATTTCAGAGGTTTCAGAGCATTTTAAAGTGTAACTGTCGTGCTTTTTATTGGGCTGGGCCGTGGCATTTTTATAAGCCAAGCTTAAGGTTTTAGAATAATGTGTATTGAATTTCCTCAGCGCGCTCCTGCCTCCAGGACGACAGTTTTCGTGTCCGTGGCAGGACTTGTGCTGTTGAAGGAGGACAGTCGCAGGTGGCCAGGGGACCACTTAGAAGAACCAGGACTGTTGCAGATGATAGAATCACAGAATGGTTTGGGTTGGAAGGGACCTTAAAGATCATCCAGTTCTAACCCCCTGCCCTGGGCAGGGACACCTCCCACCAGAGCAGGTTGCTCCAAGCCCCATCCAACCTGGCCTTGAACCCCTCCAGGGATGGGGCATCCCAGCATGGGATCTGCTACTGGGTTCCTCTCTGGTCCTATAGAAACCACAAAGCCAAGAGTCAGGATTCCTCCCAGCAACAGGATGCCACAGCCTGCCCACGGGATGCTGCGTAGCCAACCCTTCACAAAAAAACCCAAAAAGCCCCAAAAGCCCCTACTATAAAAAAGACATTGAGGTGCTGGAGCGGGTCCAGAGAAGGGCGACAAAGCTGGTGAGGGGGCTGGAGAATAAGTCTTATGAGGAGAGGCTGAGGGAACTGGGGTTATTCAGCCTGGAGAAGAGGCGGCTGAGGGGAGACCTTATTGCTCTCTACAACTCCCTGAAAGGAGGGGGTAGAGAGGTGGGGGGCGGTCTCTTTTCTCAAGTCACAGGCGACAGGACGAGAGGAAATGGCCTCAAGTTGCGCCAGGGGAGGTTCAGGCTGGAGATTATGAAAATTTTTTTCACCGAAAGGGTTCTCAGCCATTGGGATGGGCTGCCCAGGGAGGGGGTTGAGGCCCCATCCCTGGAGGTGTTCAAAAGACGGGTTGATGTAGTGCTGGGAGGTCTGGTTTAGTGATGATGCTCCTTGTTTGTTGTGTGGGTGTCTATTTTTGTCAGTGAGGTTGATGGTTGGACAAGATG